TGTTACAGACCTACTGATAGCACACATAAACATTTCAGACATTTGTAACGATTCTGTGCTCCGTCGCAAGATCACTCAGTCACTTCAAACGCTTAATCAGTTTCACGCGTCTCGCATCCACGGTTCCTCAGTTTCTGACGACATGTCAAATAACGAGGCTGTTATAGAATCTACAGACTGTTGTCAGGTTCCCATACAATCAACAAATACATTCACGCCTGGATTCTTCACAAAATGAGCAAAGAGAAAAGTTCGAATTAACTTCCGAAAATAACACCCTCGTGGAGGGCAAGGTCGGATTTACGCTGTTCACTGTATTTGTCCATGCGCGAAATTTGTTCCGGGAAAAATCGAAACAATTTCAAATCTAACTTTCAGCTCAGAGTTCTATTAATAAACTCAAATCACTCTATAGACATATCATACGCAATTGTATTGATGCTGAATTGTGGAATAAAATTGAAGTGTTTGTTAAAATTTCAAAGTACTACTTTGTTTGCCAATCAGCACGCGACAATACGCTGTTCAAACTATTGAACGAAATTGTGTGGACTGTCTATAAGGCGGGCATTTTTAATTTTAAACATAAATTATAAGTTAAAAAAGAACATAAGAGGCAGAGAAAACGTAAATATAAGTATTGAACTGTTTTTGTATGATATTTATGATCTATTTGAATGACACAGCTTTGCAAGCAAACAAATCATAATGCGCTAGCGCGCATTATGTTGTTTGCTTGCAAAGCTGTGTAATTCAAAAAGATCATAAATACCATGCAAAAACAGTTCAATGCTTAAGGAAATCTCAGCGAACTCCTTGTTTTCAAAACGAACACATTCGGGTAGCCATAATGTGTATCTGTTTGACTGGATAAACAGAGCCTCAGATATGAAAAATTGAGGCGTTTACTCAAAACAATGATATCCAATATGTGTTGCACAATTGTCATGAAAAAATATAATTCAAAATAAAAATATATTTGCAATAATAATACTTACAACACCGTCCTTGTTTTTTTCCGAGTCGAAGCTGTCCAGAAACTCCCTAAGACACTTGTCTTCTGACCATTCTCCGGACACAAACTTGGGATGGAAACGGACATTGTACCTCAGCTTCAAGTCTTCTACAGTGACCACTCCGTCGCCTGTCCCGTCCATCACACCAAAAGCTTTGTCAATGAAGGACAACCTCGAGGCATTAAGGGGAGGCTATAACAATTAGGGTCAAAGGTCAGTATGAAGTTAACAGTCAAACGAAGTTAACAGTCAAACGAAGGTAAATACATGTACATCAAATAATGGTGTATCATTATAATTTTTACGGATTGTTGATGTTTAAAATGGCAAATATTACTCTCTCTACAACAGGATACGGGTCCAATATACAGTTTGTACCTGGGCACGCAACTACTATTAATATAGATCTTGTTAGAGATGTAACGTACCATGTGACGACTGGAAGTCTAACAAGATCAATATCAATAGTAGTTGCATGCCCCTTTGCTGTAACGCATTCCCGGGTCCCTGTTCCTGGCATCATTCTCCTAGATCCTCACCGATTGACATTATCTACAAGACTTGATTGACCAATGTTATCCTCGCCAAATTACCCAGGAAACCGATCCCTGCACCTGACCCCCATCCCCTAACCCGTGATACGGTACTCACATTGAATAACTTATTTTCCTCCTTTCCCAATAGTTGCGTTATTTACTTGGCCATCGTCCCCTTATCTCCAACCCTCTTCACCTACACCCACAACACCTTTTGCCCTAGATTTCGACTTCTGTACTCCCGACCCTACCCCCTAGCCGGATTAACGATCCCTAAACACCGAATCGACTGATTTGCAATCTCTTTACACCAAATATTAACCCCGATTTGAGTCCTTGGCCTCTTTCATGCCCTTTGTGTAGGATAGGGAAAGTCCGCCCAAGGGATTTTCAAATTTGGTAAAATTCGGGGATTTGCTGAAGATTTTGCATCAGTTTAAAAAAAAATGATGGTTGGATTTCATATGTCCTTTTACATAAACAATGTAAATTTCTCTCATTCCAATCACCAGAAATAGCAAAAAAAACACCATAAAATAGCGTCGTAGTTTCTGCATGGTGACATCGGAAGTGTTTCCGATTTCGTGCCGCCACGTCATTGCTGTTTGATTGTGGCGTCATGTTCGTAACATGGGGTGTACTTGCCCTGGACATTTTCTATCCTTGATTCGATTCTACTTACCCGGATTGGTTTGGTTTGGTTTTATATTATTTAACGTCCTATTAGCAGCTAAGGTAATTAAAGGACGTGCCTTTATGTGTATTGTGTAAGCGTGCATGTGTGTATGTGCCGGTGACATGTTACATATATGTTGGTGTAATTGCTTCCTTGTGATAATGCAGGTGTGATGCCGACTTTATAGTGCTATCTCACTGAAATACCATGCCGAAGGCACCCAGCAGAGCATCCCACCCAGACAAATTATACTGACAACGGGTGAACCAGTTGCTGCCATTACCCCAAATGCTGAACGTTAAGCAGGGAATAACAACTACTATTTTAAAATTCTTTGGTATGTTTCGGCCAGGGGACATCCTCGATATCCAGGGGTTTCGCTCACTTTCGCGCTCTACACCCCTGGAATATATCATAGCAAAATTGAAGGCACGAAGATAGCTGTTTGATTGGTCTCAGGTAAAAAAAAACCTGACCAATCGCTAGGCTGATACCTGTCCTTTGAAGATTACAAAGGAGAGACGCCCGACTTCAAAGCCTGTCAATTTTTACCGTTACGTGACCGCGAGATTCTTTGGATGTATAACAAAGGATCTAACAAGTCTTCTCGTCTCATCAACAAGGTGGCGCACACCGAGCCTTCAATTTTGCTATGACATATTCCAGGGGTGAAGAGAGCGAAAGTAATCGTAACTCCTGGATATCAATGATGGCCTGGGGACAGAACCCATTGCCTTCCTCACCTGGGCAAACGTTCAACATTAAAGCCAAATAAGTGAGGTGTTGCCAAGCAAGACGCTAGAAAACAAAAGTTAGTAAGAAGTAGAAAGAAATAGAAATATCCCAAATATTGCAATGGGTGAACCATATTTGTTTTGGTCGCTCTGGTGTCCCCTTATAGAGGACACAAAAGCAAATTCTGCAGGAGTTCCCACATTAGTCGCCTCTTACGATACATGCAGTGGGTAACAGTACGTTTATATTGGTACTTACCCGGAGAGCTGTGATGAATTCTTTGTAGCTGAGCTTGCCGCTGCCATCTTTGTCCATGCTACTGAATAGTGCTCTGATCTCGGAGTCCCCCATGTCGATCTGAAATATCTCGATGCAGCGCACAAACTCGTCTATGTCGATGGATTGGCTGCGATTTCGGTCGACGATGTTGAATAACCTACACGAGAATTGATAAACTATTTTGATCACAGGGGCCCGATGATTTGTTTGTTTGAAAACACCTGTTCTGCTGTCTAGAGAGTAGCATTAGACGTGTTAAGGATTATATAAACTCTCGATTAAAATGCTACTCCAATGATGGTATATACTAGTATTTAACGAGAGGTGATTTAAACAGCTAAAAATCTACTTTTGTTCTAAACGTAATAGATTAAGTTCAATCAGATATCACTGTAACAAATAATTAGGACCATGTGATTTTAATACCTACCCTTATACCATGAACTTTTTTTTATTTTTTACAAAAGACCGTATCAGACTCTTGATCATAATTAAATATATATCATTTTGTTGATTTTGCAATGCTAAAACACAATCACGATAGATATGATACGATAAATCGCTGCAGCTCCAGTATAAATATTATGGATTGGTATACTCAAATCAATGTTATATACGAGTTACCTCCCCCGGACTACTCTGTTTACTGTACATTTGTAAACCGGGAATTTTGGTTGACCTAGTGTTGCATATTGTTTGCTTGAAACAGTTTTCCTACTCTGGCAGATGCAAGTCCTTTAATGACCTTAGCTGTTAATAGGACTTTTAACAAAATAAAACCAAACCAAACCAATTTTACAACCTCCAATTATACCAATACAAGCACATATACATGTATACAAGAAGTCTTGCATCTTACGTCGCGGGGTAGGGATGATGATGGGCGGGCTGGATTGTCTATATGTAAGTAAGGTACACGTGCTATATGTAAAATAAGTATACTTAATTATATACAAATGAATCACCATATGTAAGTATAGTGTTCCGGCCTAAAACACATACGTATACATCTATCACTGTATACGTCGTACTCTGATCCATTAGAGTACACCTGCTCCACTTACCTTCCAAAGCCTAGTATGGCAGAAGAACCCCTCTCCAATAGTTTACTCCTTAGTTTTTCTATTGACGCCATATTGCAAAATTCGATTCAGCTACAGCCTAAGCCAGGTAGTATGATTACAGCCACAGGTATGTGTGTGTAAACAATCCTAGCTATGTACCGGTGAACTGGAGCGCGAACAGGTGTGTCCAGTGAAACTCCTAGGTGAAAATGTTTACAAACCTGTCGAAACACGAGGAAGTACAGACACTGATGATAGTACAGACATCGACTCGGTTTGTTTGTTTTCCGGTTTTTCAGTATTTGTTTACGATAAATATGGAATGGCTAAATGTTTAAAACTAAGAATTCCTGTATGTATACTTGAAGTTAAATAGCTACCTGTGACCGTCGGCGGTTATCTTGGATCAATACTTTGATAAATCATTCATTAAGCCTAGCTATATATATATATATAGCGCAGATGGAATACTCGTCCATGTGTTGTGCAGGTAGCGTTACTTGTTAACCATATTGATTAAGGCAGGGTTTGTTTCAATTATTCATTCAATTTGACATAAAAGATGCCAAGCACATTAACACGCCTTAGGGCACAAACTAAATGTTTCGGGTCAATATGATGTGTATTACTGCAATGCCTATGCCTTATATCGATGAACTACAGACAGGACAGAACTGGTGTCACTAATACTAGAGTCCCAGGACGAAGCTTTACAACTTTATGATTATGTATAATATCGACACGGTTCTCGTCTACTTTCAAGTTTTGAACTGAGATTTATTTTTCTTTTATTTCTTTGTGTACGATCAGTATAGAAATGAAACATGCACTTAACAGGACCAAGGGAAAACAACGTAAGATATTTTAGACATTGTTTTCAGACCATAATTCTCCAGAAATAGCGATAGCAAGTTTGGACGAAAAAAACACCAGAAGGCTACATACATGTTATCTCTTTATCAATCTCAATGTAAAACACTCACAACTACGGACCTAAAGGTTATCTCTTTATTAATCTCATTGTACAACACGCACAACTACGGACCTAAAGGTTATCTTTTTATCAATCTCAGTGTAAAATACGCACAACTACGGAACAAAGGTTATCTTTTTTTATCAATCTCAGTGTAAAAAACTCACAACTACGGAACAAGTGTTATCTTTTTATCAATCTCAGTGTAAAAACACGCACAACTACGGACCTAACGGTTATCTCTTTATCAATCTCAGTGTAAAACACTCACAACTACGGAACAAAGGTTATCTCTTTATCAATCTCAGTGTAAAACACTCACAACTACGGAACAAAGGTAATCTTTTTATCAATATAAGTGTAAGACACTCACAACTACGGACCTAACGGTTATCTCTTTATCAATATGAGTGTACATACAACACGCACAACTACGAACCTAACGGTTATCTCTTTATCAATATCAGTGTACAACACGCACAACTACGGAACAAAGGTTATCTCGTTATCAATCTCAGTGTAAAACACTCTCAACTACCAGAGACCTAAAGTTAATTTAGGTCTATGCAACTACGGAGCAAATGTTATCTTTTTATCAATCTCAGTGTAAAACACGCACAGCTACGTGCCTAACGGTTATCTCTTTATCAATCTCAGTGTAAAACACTCACAACTACAGAGCAAATGTTATCTTTGTATCAATATCAGTGTAAAACACTCAAAACTTCGGAACAAAGGAAAACGTTTTACTCGAGAAATAGCGATAACAAACTTGAATTGAAAACAAGAGGCCCATGGGCCTTAACGAGTCCTACAGTATTTATTTTTCGGTTGTTGAAATATGTAACAATTTGAGTAAAAACTTGTGAAGTATAACGTTACCTTAAGTTTGTCAGGACCATGAGCTGATCATTCCTTGACCGATTTTCAGTTAGATCGGCCTATTAGAACTTTGAAATAGGAATTTTCAAAATAGCGGCCATGGCAGGCAAATTGTGTTTCTGATCGACCCGAAAAATAACAAAACTTTGTCAGGACCATGAGTCGATCATTCCTACAAAGTTTCAGTTCAATCGGCCTGGCAGAATTTGACTGTAAGTTTGAAATAGTTTTTCAAAATGGCGGCCGTGGCTTGAGCTCAGGTGACCTAAAAATACAAGATGATTGATTGGCGACTATCTTACTTTTCCCCCCAGTATCAATGTGTAACTACGTATACACAGCTACAGTTAATCTAAGCAATCATGGCAAAATATTCTCCAAATGAGATCCAAGGGAATATGACAGACCCCAAGGCCAATCCTTGTAGTATATCTGTATTAGATTTGTCATGCCCATCAATTTTATGTATAGGTATGGGGTGGGAATCTCAATGGTTTCAAAACTGTGACTCAGAAACTAGGTCCCTAGGGTTGTGGCCAGACCCCAGGATCAATTCTAATATCATGACTGCATTCGTCTCTATATGCCAAGCATTTGTATTTATAGTTTTAGGTTGGGGATCTCAACCGTTTCAAAGTTATGACCCACATGTTAAGTCTGCAAGGGTAGGGCAGACCCTGGGATCAATTCTCATATCATGACAGCATTCGTCTCGTTATGCCAAACAATTGTATATATAGTTTTGGGGTGGGGATCCTAACCGTTTCGAAGTTATGACCCAGGGGTTAAGTCACCAAGGGTGGGGCAGACCCCAAGACCATCCCGGAAGCGTATGCACATTCATCTCTTTATACTAAGCAATTGTATGTATGGTTATAGGGTGGGGATCTCAACTGTTTCCAAGCTGTGACTTAGAAACTAGCTCCCTAGGGGTTCGGTCAGACCCCAGGGTCTATTCTAATATCATGACTTCATTCGTCTTGTTATGTCCAACAATTGTATATATAGTTTTGGGGTGGGGATCCTAACCATTTCGAAGTTATGACCCAGGGTTAAGTCACCAAGGGTGGGGCAGATCCCAAGACCATCCCGGAAGCGTATGCACATTCATCTCTTTATACTAAGCAATTGTATATATGGTTATAGGGTGGGGATCTCAACGGTTTCAAAGCTGTGACTAAGAAACTAGGTCCCTAGGGGTTTGGTCAGACCCAAGGGTCTATTCTAATATCATGACTGCATTCGTTTCTTGATGCCCAGCAATGCTATATATGGTTATGGGGTGGGGATCTCAACAGTTTCAAAGATATAACCCAGAAACTAAGTCCCTAGGGGTAGGGCATATTTTTACATTATGATTGTGTTTATCTCTTGATTCCCAGCAGTGCTATATATGGTTATGGGGTGGGGATCTCAACAGTTTCAAAGATATAACCCAGAAACTAAGTCCCTAGGGGTAGGGCATATTTTTACATTATGATTGTGTTTATCTCTTGATTCCCAGCAGTGCTATATATGGTTATGGGGTGGGGATCTCAACTGTTTCAAAGATACAACGATCCATAACATACAATATTGACCTCACCCTACCACTTGACCCCAGGGCCATAAATTTCATAAATTCAAAAGAGGCTAGTTGATGATTATAATTAAAAGCGCCATTACTCTCTACTACCTGTAGGAGAAGAGAAGGAGATTTTTAAAGATGATTTTACCTATTTGGCCCTGTCCCTCAGGCCGTAGCCCCATACATTCAGATCCCCATGTCCTAGTTATGTTCCATGTCAAGTTTGGTCAAAATTGGCCCAGTAGTTTTGAAGAAGAAGATTAGTATGTAAAAAGTTGATGGACAGCAGACGACGGACGACGGATGCTGCGGTATGCCAAAGCTCACTTGGCCCTTCGGGCCCGGCGAGTTAAAAATCAAAAATATAAAACGTTAACATGTTGATACTTTATTGTTATAATATAGATATTCATCAATAAAAAAAATGGAAAAAAATGTTATAAGTATTTTGATGTTTGGACAATATTTTTAGTAAAATGACTGGATTAAGTTTATCTGTCTAGGTATAAATATTAACAATAACGATACCTGCTACCAATAACAGGAGTCAGTCAGCTAGTCAATCAGCTAAAACAATTAACATTTAAATACAAAGCTACATTAAACGGAAAGTCTTTTGACATAGATCTACTTTGTACCAGAGAACTATGTATATTGTTGATCTCTTTTCAGAATGTTTAAATTAAATATGTTCATTCTGTTTCTGTTAATATGGATACAAGTTATATAATACACATCAGAGTAATTAACTTTTGTCTCGGCATAAATAAAAATAGATCATGCTTAGCGTGAAAATTGGCTGGTCTGTTAACCAGAAAGCCGTTTTATTATTCAAAATACTGTGTGTAATTCATTATTGAGTAGTATAGTAGGGTTAGAAAATGTATCGCAAAGTATGCATCTGTATATAAATGAACAAATAAATTAAAATTTAACATTAAGTTAACATATACATGCACAATAAATGACTATAAAACATTTCATGGTTCCTTAAAGGATGATTCAAGCTTAACATCGACAAGAAGACGTATAATAACAACAGAACCAACCTGATGAATATAATGAACTGTGTGGCACATACAGTATCCATTCATGGACGGATGATAGGAGGAAGGATGCGAGCAGCGTTGATTTATTATTTAAAGACATTCCGTTGCAAATGAAGTCAAAATCCCTTCTTCCTTACTTTGTGTAAGGGATTTTCTTCTACGGATTACCTTAACTTAGCTGCGACATTGCCTGAAAGTTCTGGCACATATTTGGCAGCTTTGTAGTACGATATGCGATGCCCTGAAAGCCCTTCTGGCGATATCACCTCAGGCTAGGTTTCTAGTAATATTGTGACAAACCCAATCAATTTGGATTCCCCCAATCAAAAGTATAGACAATGTTGCAACAAGGATTGTTATTGTATATACATTGTATATGTCTATCTTCTTGTAATATGATGTATATGTACATGTAACTGTTCTGTTTCACTGTGTCTTGAAAAAGGAGCGGACCGCTCCGAAAATTTGACAACCTAAACTTGTCCACACTGTTGGAATTACTTCTTTTCCCCATATAATATTTGAAGTAATTTGTATCATACAGACATACCTCCATTAGGATCCAGTGTTATATGGGATTTTACCGTCTATATTACTTCTTTGACCCATGTATATTATATAGTTATATAGTAATTCAGTAAGACTTTGTAGCAATAAGACCTAATCCATGATTTGTGTACATGTACAAACTGATGCATTCAAAATGAAATAGTTAGTCAAGCATAAATCAGATGTATACATATATTTGTATATATGATGCAATAAAATGTCAATTGGAAAAATTAAGGTACAGATTTTCTAATTAGCTACATGTGTATTCGGTGTATATATTGTAAAATATCTTTTCTGTAATCCTGTGTTTGACACAATTTAAAATTGTTGCATGAAAATGAACTGCAGATAATTGATATTTCAATGTTTTGTTGCCATAGATTATAACAAAACATAGAAGAAAACATATTCTACATTACTTAATAAGACTCAAGAATGCTAAATATGTATATCACTTTATCCAAAAAGACTAAACACTCATTATTATTTCACCCAAGTTTACATCCGCCACTTTCTAATTATTGAGCTAAGGAATCAATTATATTTTGGATTCCCATGATCCAATGATGGAATGTGTGCCAGAACATCACCAGAATGTCTTATTTGTGGTTAACCTCTGGTGATTTTCTGGTCGAATTCTGGCGAACAGTTTTGTGCACTGCGATATCGCTGAAAACTTTCTATTTCTGTAAAGGTAATCCCATAATTTTCCTAGAGACCTAGAAATGCCTCGTTCTGAATGATATAAAAATCCTCCAATAATTACGTTCGGAGAACTATTTCAAAGATTAATTAAACCAAATTCCCAATTTGGGCCCATCTCTCCACTTCAAGGATGGTCCTTGGTGGATTTAATCACAAGAAAAACTTCAATGGCTTTGTGAGTGATTGCTTCTACTCTTTGACATGGCTCCCATGGAGAGTTACATCAACGTTTTATATTGCATACAATTGAAATGAGATTTGCCCGTGTAAGTAAAACATAATGTGTTACGATAAGTCTTTGAATACCTTTGAGGCACATACATGTCAGTCAATGTTTTGGGTGATTGAAAATAAAATAATATTTACAAGTAAAGGATGACAGACAATAAAATGGCTGGATGTATACATCCAAGGTGTATTTCTGTCAGTAGAGACCCAAGTCTAACTCACGTAATGATGAATTGCAGCGAAAACATGTTCAAAGGAAAGGGCCGGATTACATATAAGCTTATTTTGACTTGGTGAAACCAGCGGCAATTTGTATTTATCTAAACACTGAAAAAAGCTGTTTCCCCATACTCACTTAGACCATCTAGTGCCTACATCAATGAGCGAAAAACATTCATTAAACTTTTAAACACTATTTTCTTAAAACATTTGTTCTGAATATCAAATACAGATGTATATAAAAGATGCTATTCCTATTACAAAAAACAAACGATAGTGCATAATGGTTGAAATCAAGAGAATAAAATGAAATAATTCACGCTGAAAGTCTAGACTTAGAGTTAATTTAAGATATGAGTATTTGCCCATTTCATAGGGACTCTAGATCTGTGTGCCAATACAGATTCTGATGCATAATCCTTAATGTAATATGGCGTTGAAGGGCTTCATGTAAGAATGTCAGAATTAATTAATGATGTGTGCTATAGGACAACACGATTGACTTACTAGTATATATTCCATATTATTATCTACATTTTCAGGAGAGGTTATGCTTTATTTTCAGGTTTTTTTTTCACGTTCTAAATGTCAGTTTATAAAGATCTCAAAACAGTAAAGTCAGCGTTGTCCAAATTAGATTGGCCACATTCCAAAAGTGGCCAAGTATTCAAATGGTATTAGTCTAACAAAACGTATTAATTTCTGTACATTGCGATGGAAGGATGCTGACCATAAAGATATATATATATATATATATATATATATATGTAAATGCACAAAAAATCCCCAACAACATAAAAAGTCATTTTTTCAACACCATGAATCCAAGAAGCCTCTTACACATTGGAATAATAATTTCTATGAATACAGATAAACAAAAATATCTAAAAACAAGAGGCCCATGGGCCTTAATGGTCACCTGATATATTTATACAGACAGTTGATTTTGTTTTTAACATGAACAGAAACATTATTCAAAGTGCAGACAAAAAACAATAAAACCACCTTATTCAATATATAGCATACAGATTTCAGACTAACAAGTATTTGAAACTAGCACCTCTTATTCTAAACAAGGAAAATGAAGAAATTTTAGCACACTGATCGACTTCTTTGAGCCCCACCCTACAGCCCTTGGGGGTAGGGCTGGCTCAAAATTTTAAAAGTATCAAACTGTCAACTCAAGGTTATAATTCCAATCAATTTATTAACATGTAATTTTCAAAGTATCATTTGCCATTATAAACCATAATAAATTTTGTCCCCCCCCCCTCCTTCCCCAGGGTCATAAACCTAAAGACCCTTCCATCTATGTAAATTCGACCCTTTTTGGCCCCACCCATCAGCCCCTGGGGGTCAGTCAGGGCTGATATGTGCTTATTATCAAACTGCTACCTAATACTGATAATGCTAACCCAACTTGAATTACTTCCAATGGAAATTAAACAAATGTTGGTCCAAAATGTGATTTCCCTATATAAACTATTGTAAAGTTTACACCCTCCCCAGGGGAAAATGAGACCCCAGGGTCAAGAAACTCACAATTTTGGTAAAGCACCTTAAGACCCTTCCATCTATAAAGAGTATTTGATTCTACCACATCTGGGTCTTGAGAAGAAGATTTTTGAAATTTTAGTCAATTTGACCCTTTTTGGCCCCGCCCCTCAGGACCCTGGGGGCTTGGGACTAAACCGGCCACTGTTTTTGTTGACCTTTGTCCATGGAAGGTCCCTGCAAAATTTCATTGAAATTGGTTTAGGGGTTTTGGAGAAGAGGTCGAAAATGTAAATTGTTTACGGACGCACGACGGACGACGATGGACAAAAGGCGATCGCAATAGGTCACTTGAGACTTTGTCTCAGGTGACCTAAAAATATCGATTACAGAATATTTAATTCATAAAATGTCCAAAATACTGTGTTCAATATTGCCAATTATATAAACAACGCGAGAATCCCCTGTAGGTGTTTAGCTTTGATGTGTGTTAATTGATTACTTAATTTGCACTGTAGACTTAATTCATAATCATCATTTTTGATGAGCTTTTACTTTGAGGCGCAATGTCAAACATTTAAAATTTTTTCAATATATTCTAAAACCATCTCCCCAGTCAAGAGTAGCTTTTATTAAATGATACTAAAATAAAAAAAACATATGTTAAAACATTCAATTTATGAATACATCACATTATTAAAGAAATTTCGAAAATATAGATTCCTTATTCTTAACACCATCTTAAAATCAAGATACATTTCAGTTCGAGCAAGCCATGCTATTTTTTAATATCATCTTATTATCTAGTCACATTTTTGGTCAAAATTTGCCCAAGAGAATCGCAGGGCGGAATGATGTACTTCTGTCCAATGACAATCTGACACTTAAAATCCTTTTGATACATTATTGTATCAAAATGCATGACAATAAGGAAATGTCAGGATAAGAAACATTTTTGATTTTTTTCAATATATTACAAAAACAAATAAAAAATCACAAGAAACCACATTTGTACTGTATTACTCAGTAAAGCTGAGAACTATTCCTGAAATGTGGTGAAAGGAGAAAACATATTTATCCAACTTAAGCTGAAGGATTTTTTTTATATTTCATAAATCCTTTATGACTCATGATCTTTACACTAAAAACGGATTTGCAATTGCCTCCCTTTGTGTATATTTCAAACCATGGAAATAGAAATTGAAATTGTACCCTTTTACCAATAACCCATTCATCTAACAACATTAGACCTAAGAAGTTTCTATTGGGTATTTATAACTTGCAGTTTTCGCTACAAGATAAATTGTACCTATTGACTAAGTCTCATCAGAAACCTGTTAAATCTGACTAAGTTATTGTGAAAAAAATCATCGACCAATCGGATAGCAGTAACTTATAGTCTTTGCCATTGCATAATATAAATATTGACCGAGTTTCCTCAAAATCTAATCATATTTGACAAAGTTATTTTGCATAAACCGTCAGCCAATCAGAGCAAATATACTATGCAATTTTTTTCTCCATTTTGAACTAGCCTCAAGTTTTGGATAATGGACATTCATATAAAGTTTCATCAAAATCGAACAATATTTAAGCAAGTCAACTTGCAGAATTTAAAGTTTGGAAATTGACAAATCAGAGCACAGTACGCTGATTAATTATGAAAATATTTTGCTCAAGTTTGAAGTTAGCCCCATTCTTTATGTGATGTACATTCATACCAAGTTTTATCAAAATTGAACGATATTTTAGTAAGTCATATTGTGGAAACCAAAGTGTGGATAGATGGCCGCTCCCCATACCGTAATATGTCCTGTCAAAATCTGAATGGGTGTAAAAAAATAGGGAAACAGTATCTACAGCAATTTTTTTGTTTTTGAATATTTGCGAGGAAGTTAATCAAATACTGAAGTGACTTAGCTTAAAGATCATTTGTTGTTGCAATTACACTTCAGCATCAATTAGATTAACATGAGCCTGTGCGTAATGAACATGGTTTTTGCCTCTGATACAAAAACAAAGTCGACTTACTGAACATACATTGTTTCCTTGAGCTTCCTGATTTTGAGGTAGAGGTGCAGTTCTTTTCTTTAATGTTTCATAGAATAACAATCTCTGCCTTTCTGTATCATGTTTTGCTGGTCGTGTAACATGCAACAATGACTTTGAAAGCAAAAATGTATTGTTCAATCCTTCTGGAGCCTCCTTCATGTTTTCTTCACTTCTGTCAATGACCGTAAGATATCGCAAAGAAATCGCGTTACTGTTGTACAAACGGGATACACACGAGTCCATTTCTTTGAATTTTACTGTATCCATCAAATCAGGCAGAATGATGAAGCTGGTACTGCAACCTTCAAATGGATTCCCACTTTGCACTGAGAAAAACAAGAAGATAATTATAAGATCATTTTACCAATAACTAGATTTTCATCGAGTTTCCTAGGTGTTATTTAGAAAAAATCTGTCACTAATAAAGTACTATCTCTGCAAACACAAGCAGAATTGAAACAAAGTCTGAAGCAATAGTTAGGACCTTACATACTGGTAAAGCTTACAATTTTGTTTTCAATACAATTCAGGTTTAGGTGAAGCAGTTACAACCACAGGGACCTGAGAATTTGTTACAGCTATATTTGGACCTTAACTAAGGTGTCTCAGGTCCCTGTGGTAACAACCACGGACAAACCCATCCTAGATATCTAGGGGTTACGCTCGCTATGTCATAGAAAATTGAAGGCACGAAGATAGCTGTTTGATTGGTCTCAGGTTCAAAACCCTGACCAATTGCTAAGCTAATACCTGTCCTTTGAAGATTACAAAGGAGAGACGCCTGACTTCAAAGCCTGTCAAATTTTACCCTTACGTGACCATCGATTCTTTTGATGTATATCAAAAGTTCGTACTAGTCTTCTTGTCTCATCAAGAAGGTGGCGCACACCAAGCTTTCAATTTTGCTATGACATATTCCAGGGGTGTAGAGAGCGAAAGTGAGCGTAACCCCTGGATATCGAGGGTGGGACAAACCTGAATCAATAGAAAAACAGGCATCTTGATTCACCTATATCCACAACTTTTCTTCTGTTCGGAAATGGTGTGAGGGTATGTATGATTCCTCAATTAATCTATAAGATGGTCCTTAAATGTTGTAAAGACTTAAAAATAACCCTGAAAGTGAAAATTCAAATAAACAAACACAAACACCCTGTTAAATACTTACGTAAATCCACTCTGAACATGTCTTGTTTGACATATACAGAAACTAAAGGCCAATCCATGTGATTCGGCAAGACATATTGAACCCGATCTACCTTTTATACTATTCAAGTGATATTACTATAGCGATTTCGTTTTAAACTAAATCATTTGATGTTATCGATTTTAATTGGTGATATTACTATAGTATACACCTTAATCCATGCAAATGCTTAATGACTGATCCAAAATAATTTGTCAGGGACAATTATTCTGAAAATAATAAGGCCCTAATTACATTGGCAATCACACCAACAGACTGTTGTGAAGTCTGTAGGTCCTTCAGATTAATGCAATCAAGATTTTTGTTTTAAAGTCAATGTTCCAAATTTATAATTGTTCTATTATGGTGCCCCATCCAAAATTCAAAGACACATAATAAAGGAGATTAATGACTCAATTTACGCCATTTTGTGATTTTTTCATTATGTAGGCGTAAATGCATAAGATACATAATATCAAATGATATAAACATCATGACAAATCATCAACTTTTTTCCATAGTGGGAATATTGGCTGTCATGTATTTGCATCACTTTATAATTAAATGTAAAAGATCTGCACTTAAGTGTACATAATTATAACTTTGGTAATTTTTTCAAACGGCCACCTATATTAAGGGCCCCTATGTGCCAATATCTGCTTCTTCAACCCATTTCACAAGCTGCTTAAATACACTGGGAAGAAAAAAAACCTACCACCTGAGTGACAGATTACTGAAAGTGTCACTCGGCTAAACTTTATACTGAAATTCAGACTGAGTGCGATTTTTTTTTATCCAATTTTTTTATTAGTAAATTGTTGTACATTATCAAATATCCCTTTCAGATATGTTGATCAAGGAAAGCACTTTTGGCTGTCTGTAGATAGGTTAACACAAAAGGTGTTGACAAAGAATTTGTTGGTGCCATAACAAAAATGGGACACTATATAAAGCCAATTAGCTGTTGATGTACTTACTGGGATGAACTCAGAACTAAAAGTATGAAAGGTGGCCTACTGGCACCCTACTCACTGCTCTCTACTGAAAAGCAGTTTATAAATGAGCAGTCACCTGTTGCACAAGATATTATACCCAAATTACCCATATAGTTATATAACAGTTTTATCAACCATTATCAAAAGACTTAATAAACAATTAGCATTTTTTGTTTTTACTTCATACACAAATTGCACCAATATGCTCGTTCGTAAAAATGCAGATTTCTACATCACATACAAGGTGTAGTTTTGCAGAACACCGTGGTACAAAAAGAGAGATGGTCATGACAGAGTAAGGCCCTGAAGCTGTCATACCCTGGAGGGTGAACAAGAAATCATACCCCAGGAGGTGACGGAGAAATCTTCAACAGGTAAAATGGGAGACAATTCAGTCAAAGGTGGGAAACGCTCTCTGTCATACCCGCCATGTAGGGAATGATTATTTTTCTCCCATCATTCCGATACTATTTCTTACAATAATAGTTTTCAGCATTTGTAATATATTTGAGCTGAGTATGACATCACAACTGACTGTTACAGTGTTGTCACGGAATTGTTTTCTTTCTGCACGCAATCTGTCATTCCCTTCAGGATGACAGAGAAATCATACCCTTAGGGGAAACGGAGAAATCTTGAACAGGGGATCCCCGCGGATAAGGGAGACCATTCAGTCAAAGGTAGGTGAGAGTAGGCATCTTACGTTTACCTTGTCCAGGCTGACACTGGGTGGCTGATGTTGTGACTTCATAATTATCTCCTAACTTTGTACTTATTTCCTCTGCTAGCACATAATCCATAGAAAGACCATCTTCATTTACTTTCTCCTCTTCATCATAGAAAATGAAGACTTTGTTTGTGTTTTGTGGCTTGGCATCTAAACAAAGTAACCAAAAAGAAATTAAAGATATTAAATATAGCCACAATTGTTTGATTCTGAAGTCCAAGATGTTCATGTATTTGCTGCTTAAACCTCCATTTTGTCATTTCAAAATGACAAAAACTTAAATTTGTCCAGTTTCCATGCTTGTGCTAACTCATTCATTCCAATCTTTGAGTTGAAAGAGTTCAAATATGTCTTTAGGGGTGAAGGAGTAATTCTTATTCCTTGTCTTCTACCGGTACATATAAACCCATGCAACACATACCAGATGTTGTCTTTAAACTACACCAATATTGTTTTTTGTTGTGTCTTGTTTTAATTTTGGTCAATTTAATAATGATTTCATCACAATAATAAGAACAAAATTTTCATTTAGGATATTAATACACTTCTATAAACATGTACTTTCTATGAAGAAGTTCATTTATGAGGGTATGACAGTAACTGCAATTTGCTGTGTATGAATACAATTGTACATAGCTTGAGTACCAATGCTACAATTGTGCGACTACAAACATGGACAATATATAAGTTCTTTAAAAAAAACATTTAAATTGTTTCCTGGCACTTAGATCGAACTTCTTTTAAAATCATTCTAATCTTTTCAAATATAAGTCATTTTCTTAACTCTTTCATCACTGTAGACCATAATGGACTTGTCCAGATCAATGCATGGAAGTTTCTACTAAAGATGCATAGGGTGAAAGGGTTAAATTAAAAACAGATGAATATGATATGATAGCTTGTTTTATCTTTCAAAAGAAATGGCCTGCTCTGTGGTATATCTGACAAACTAACTAGTCGTCTGCAGAGGGTTCAGAACACTGCAGCACGGCTAGTTACTCGTACTCGAAAGAGAGAGCACATCACACCTGCGCTTTATTCGTTGCACTGGTTACCTGTACGATACAGGTCGCAGTACAAAATTCTGGTATACACATACAAGGCACTGAATGGAACAGCTCCTCCGTACCTACAGGAACTTGTTACCCTGTATCAGCCGTCAAGATCACTGCGGTCGGAGTCAGAATCTTTGTTGTGTGTCCCAAAATCTCGTACTGTGACCTACGGAAACAGATGCTTTGGGAGGGTTTCGGCTACGTTGTGGAATAGCNAAAACCATTACTATTATCCATTGGTTGTAAAGCACCTTAGAGTAATTTTACGAATTATAAAGGGCGCTATATAAATGTTGTATATTATTATTATTATTATGTCATATCAGTTGTTCCTCTGTTGCAACATACTCCAATATTTTCATATGATCTGAAAATTGCGTACCATAATAGCGTGACCTAATGTACAGCCTGACTTTGCCATTTCTACTTATAAACAATAGGCAGAAGACCAGAATAACGACGAATGCCAGCACGCCTACAGGAATCAGTACTCGTCTCACTGGGAAGGGGGAGCGTTTGTTCACCACATCAACTGTAACAGAAAAAAATGGATCTTCTTTAATTTGATTTCAAGACTGCCATTCCATTTTTAAAATGCATCCACTGAATTTTCTTTTAAGAAAGATAACTTTCGAAAATAACTCTATATATCCCTGCTTTCACCCTGACATTGCTATCCAGGGAGTTATTCTTCTGTTCTGTTTGTAGGTCTGGAAACTAAACCACCCCTGCAACCTCACTCCCATTGTAATAAGTTAGGTCAACATTTGACAGGTGAATAGGGCATTAATTGACTTTACCCCTCCTGATAGTTACTGACAACAAGACAAAAGGCATAAGATGCTGAGAGGGCTGTATACGTGGCTCAAACAGTTTGGTTTTCAGAAATTGCTGTTAGAATATTTCAGCATAAATCAGTATTTGGACTGAGGGATAAAGCATTCCCCACAACCAAGCCTGGCTTTAGGAAATAGACCATTTCCTATGGAACGAAAAACTTACTATATCCCTCAAGCCCATACTTTAACTGTTTACTTACATAAAAATAAATCTCTATCCTCTAGATCTGCTAGTCATTTATTTACCTCTTTTGATATGTAGATGGTTTATAGCGGTGTTTGAGGAATTTAGCACAATGCACACAAAGCTGTCGCCAAAGTCAACTTTCTGTATGTCATCGATCGTCAGTGTTGTCACAATGTGCCTTCCAGCATTGCTGTAAAATATAAGATGACAATACTTTACAATTGACTTTGAATGAAATAAATAATTGTAACGAAACAATCAACCTTAAGCTGTCTGTAATATATTTGTTTTTAGCTATGCATGTATATACAAGTATATACTGTGGCAAGCATCTCCAAAACGTTAAGAGTTCTACACTGGGCTATGTTGATAGTTCATTTTTCACAATAATGAATTTCTACAGTATTTCAGATAAAAAAAGATGAGTACCACTATAAAATTCAACACTGGGGAAAATGGTTTTTCACCATCTTTGCGGTCTAGAAGATAATGACCATACAAATGTAATATAATTTGTCAATGACAATAATTTGACAGATGTAACATACACTGTAATTTAAAAGTACTCTACATCTTTTGCAAAACTGTGTAGAGGAAATTAGATATGAACATCAACCATCAAGTACAAGAGTTACAATAAAACTAATTAATTACAACAATTAAATATAATACATCCTCCCGACAGAATTATTTAACATTTAATTTACCTTTTGAATGTTTCATTTTGGAAAAAAGTTAAACATAAGGATGCTCCTTGTATTACCTTCTGTCATCTGACTACCATCTACAGATAACTAAATCTAGCCACTTAGTGCCGATCCCCACCAGTAGCACCACCTATTGGCGTAATTAGTCAAACCAATTTTACCATATATTAACTGGGTGAAATTACAGCTGAGAATTTATACACAGTGACTAGTATGTTTAATGTGACATATCTTTCTGATACATGAGATGAACTGCGGTTCATATTACCATTATGGTAATATGAACCGCCCCATGGTGAAATAAAGGGTTTCAACGATTTTTCTATTTTTGTTGTATTCTATCTGAAATGACAAAAATTAAGTCAGGGGTAGAGAAATTTAGGGTGGGGCATGGGCCCTCACTTTAACACAATGGTGAAATGAAGGGTTTCAGCCATTTTTTTCTATTTGACTTTTTTAAACTAAATCTGGTTTAGATTAACATCAGTTCGATGTCCAGAATATGAAAATAACAGAAATTTAGTCTGGGGTAGAAAAATTTAGGCCGGGGCAGGGGCCCTCCACTTTACCATAATGGTGAAATGAAGGGTTTTAGCATTTTTTTTCTATTTGACTTTTTTAAACCAAATCTGGTTTAGATGTTACATCAGTTTGATGTCCTGAATATGAAAATCACAGAAATTATGTCTGGGGTAGAGAAAAATCAGGTTGGGGCAAGCGCTTCACTTTACAATAATGGTGAAATGAAGGGTTTAAGCAATTTCTTTTTCATTATTATGTATATTTGTGGTCTAGTCAAGATCAGAATGAACAAAATGAACGACAGATTTGATAAAGTACTTATAATACCTTCCCTCTAGTAAACTTGAATTTGTGGGGAATACAAATATTGGATGGAGGTTATGTATATGATCATGAGGCAGTATGGATTAGGCCTATATATGTACACAGCACCTTGTACATTAATTTGCAATGTAAACATAATGTGAAATTTGGTATCCTCTTGTTGGTGGTTCTTCTGTCCATTTCCAAAATCACTTTAAAGTTATTAAATGGGGAAATTACGTGGCATGTACGAGTTAAAGGGCCCATACACTTTATATGGCCCATACACTAGCCCAGCGTAAAGGTAAAAAGTTATGGCCAAGAGGCCTCAGCCAAACACATTACACAACTTTGACTGGTTCTCCCAAATGATATGTCTGTCCAACATGACTATTACCTTAAAAATAGAATGAAAAGAAGATAAGGACACCTCCTTGTGACTATTGGGGAATAATGTTCTGATACTGTGTAGCTATAATCTAGATACCCAGACAGGCAGCACCATATCAATAATTTACCTAACATATATGTAGGAGCATCAAGAGGCGGGACAATCAATAATTTTGGGGAGGGGGCTTTCGTAATGGTCTCTCAACACATGTTGTTCCTAGAAGTGGTCTCTTAAGCAAACTTGACAGTAAAGTTTAGGTAATACAGACCTGACATTTGAGGTCACATGGTATCTGCCGCCCTTCAGATCTGATACTTTTGTGTAGTTGGGTCCCCGTTGCAGATACCAGTCAGCAGAGTACGGTTTAACACTGTAGCAGCCATAGTCTGCCACACACGAACTTGTTACATTCCTACCCAAGTCTGTAAGCACCTTGTTCAACGTAAGATGCACAAACACATTTTGCCTTCGAGCACATTCTGCATGACAAATGAAAGATAAGAATAAGGACTTGCACAATCTCAAATGAGGAAGTTATCACATTATTTTGTATAAAACAATTTTAACATGCATCCTCGAAATCCAAGGTTTTTCGATCTCAATACACACACCTTCTCTGCACACCTGGAATAAGTCATGATAAAATTGAAGTCTCTTTATAATGCTATACCTTGCAATTGTGGATGATACAAGTAGAATAGTTTGGTGTTTACGATAAAGATCAAAGGAAATGCATGGCAACGTAATGATAAAAAGCAACAGGCATTGAAATTTGGTGTATTTTCTTTGTAGTCTTCAAAGTACAGGTTAACAGCCGATCAATTGGTCAGGTTTTTATTCCTAAAACCAATCAAATAATCTACCGCAGGTTCTCAATGTTATCATGAAATACTTCAGGGATGAAGGTAAATACTTGTACTAGTTGAGAGGCAGTACCCTTGGATTGTATGGATATAACTGAACAACATCAATATGCCTTTCAATCTTTAAATGATATGAAGTACAGGAAGACTTCAATTTTATGAGACTGACTATTAGGTTTTAATTTGCAAAATAAATTAAACCATATCATATCAGCTTCTGTTTCACACTCGGAATTTAAACTTAAATATTTGAAGTACATTTTAACAAGGAATGTTATCCCCCGCTCAACGTGTATCTAGGGTTGCACTTCTAAATGCACATTTTGGATGCTGAATTGACCTTTATTTTATGCGTCATGTTTTTATTGACCTTTGAACTGCGAGTGGGGGATATCGATGACAGCGTCTTCTTTTTTACTATGTAAGTATTTAACTCCATATTCACATACATGTACATCTTGTATTAGTGCAAATATCATTTTGAGTTGGCACATTTATGTAAAGACAATGGAAGTGTAAATAGACCTGCAACTCTGAGGTTATAATGGCAATTTCTCAAAACAACCGGGTGTTTGCAGAATGCGTATGCTAAATGTGACCTATTTTTTCACAAACCCATTTTTTTTTCTGTGAGACAAATATGCTAATTAACTTACCATATAGCTCCAATTCAATGGTGCGCGTTTCATGTAAATCATGTTCAGTTTCCGCTACTGCCTTGCACCTGTAGAGGCCATTAGTGTTTTTATTGTACAGGGAGTCAGCATCAAGCTCCTCACCATTAACATTATCAATGTAAGTGCTGAGGAGAGTCAATTTTTTGTTTCCCTTAGCCAGATAGACAGTCGGTCTCCATTTTGGATTATTTTCCGTTACGATTGGAACCCAATTACCTCGGAATTCGTGAAACCAGGAAATAGAGCTAAATTTTGAAGAATCAACATCACAATACATGTCTACTGCTGAACCAAGTTTCTCTTCAATTTTGCAGGGTCCAGTAGTAGACACATTTTCAGACGGGTTATTCCTCCATTGATCTGAAACAAAATGGAGAAGAAGAATCTTTAGAATATGTTTTACCGGTTGATATTATTTAGGCTAGAAACAGACCTACTTTCTTATATGTTACTCCTGATCTACAGATCAGCAATAGTGAAAACCCAACAAGCAGGGCTAGAGACTTCAATATAATTGGTAAATATAGTCAACAAAACTTATTTAATATATCACGCGAGTCCTACATCAATGTAATAGGTCCATGACTCCTGAAAGTAACATTCTCAGTATAAAATAGAAAAGTTCACTAACTATATTCCTACATGTATGACATTAAATCATCGATGTCTGGAAATATTTTTCCATGGACAGACGTTTCTGACATCTATAGCACACAATTGGGAAGAGATGGAATAACATTAATAGCAAGTGCAAAATCTGTCACTGACACTAACAGGAATGCAGACAGGACTTTACAAACATCTGGAGTGCCATCCCATATACACCTCTTGCAATGTTGTGCGGTCCATGAGGCTTTGATGCCAATGATGGACCTATGTTATCGATCAGTGCAAAATATTGACCCCTTCAATTATCTAAGCAATCTACTGATGTTGAGTGACAATTTAATATTTTTTCTTGTGTTTAATTTCCTTGCATTTTGTTAGTTGACTTTGTCACAAGAAATGTTTAGTTGTTTTTGTATTGATATTTTCCCCTATCAGTATTAAGGTATTTATAATGGTTTTTCTTCTTAAGCAAGGCATTTTATAGATGGAAGACCTGTAAGGCATTCCCCGATGAGGCCTAGCGGGCCTATATCGCTCACCTTAATATTTGATCAATGATGGGAAAAGTGTTCTCAATAAAAGTAAGTTTGGAAATATTTCCATATCTTGAGTCTCCTTTGCTTAAGAATATTCCAGACTAAATGAGACTTTATACTACTCTATCCCAGCATGATACCAGTCAAATATCACCACCTAGGGCCTCCTGGTAATGCAGAATAAGTTTTAATATATTTGACCACTTTGGCCTTGAAAGTAGGTCAAGGTCATTTAGTTATTTGGAGGAAAGTTCATAGCACTACATCCCAGGTACTTACTGGCCAAATATCATCACCTTTGCCCTCCTGGTTATTCAGAAGAGGTTTTTAAAGATTTTTACATATTTGACATCTGTGACCTTGAAAGTAGGTCAAAGTCATTTATTTGAAGACATGTTACACCTTAAAGCATTTTGTCCAAGGTACCTTCTCGCCTAATATCATGGCACTAGTTCATCCAGTTCTTAATAAGAAGTCATTAAAAGAAGATGTTGACAAATGACAGACAGCTGACAACACATCATTCTATACGTTGTGCCAGGTGAGTTAAATAAATTATGGTGACCTTGATCTTGTACCTTTTAAACTCAAAAATGAATCCTTCAGCAGGCTCGTTTAAAAAACGATTCAGGCTGGTATTGATATCAGACTGGTATTGATAAGATTCAGGCTGGTATTGATAGGATTTAAAATGATAAGGAATTCTAATCAATACAGAGTGAAGAAATTGATTTTTTAATCATTGGCAATCTTGATTTTTGAAACTTTACTAGACATGAAAGTTTCATATAAACAATATCATAAATAAAAAGGGAAAGATAAATCGAGCAAAGCAGTTTCAGTCGTGTTTCAAGCACTTTCTCCCTCATTGGAGGTTTAAGAGGTTGACACATATGAGGACCTTAATTTATTGAGCAGAAATATATTTAAGATTGTACCAGCAACACAACATGTCTACTTTATTCTTTTCTGGACATGATTTCAAAGGGTGATACATGTAACTACTAATTTTTTATTGTTGTATAGAGAGTGAAATCAAGGGAGATATTTTGCCCAATTCCTATTTTATTATTTAAAGGCATCATGACAGCAGTTTCAAGTGAGGTATAGATAATATTCACGTGTTATATTACTAATTATCCCTTAACTCATTCACCCCTGAAATTTCATAATGAACTATTCCAACCTTTGGATTGGAAGAGTTCAAATGTGTGTTCTGGGGTGAATGAGTTAAAATGTGACATACAAAAAAATGTATTTATATCTGCATACATATTTATTTTCAGAAATTAATCATAAAGCTTCATCATCACATGAAGATTGTCAAGTATGTATACATGCACAAATCATTACAGGCCCAAAGCTGCCTATACACTGGTACCCAGGGGAATCCACCATATCTTGTATCAGAAAAACAAAACAATACAAAGACAGTGCCAGCTGCTGTACCCCCTTGACAACTACATGTTCCAAGGCCTTCCTAGACCCACTCCTAAATGAATCCACTCTGAACAATGGCTAGCTATACTCCTGCCTTACCTTTGCAGTAAGGAAGAGGGGACACATTGACAGTGCCGTACAATACAGCTAGGTTGAACCAGATGATATGGCCGCCCTTCACCTTCATCACAACCAATTGAATCTATGGCGAATACATTTGCAGGCCATCGTCTTTAAAACATGCTGCAAAGAAAATATCATTTTAAAAATATTGAAAATCTAGTTTTGGAGTAAGAATGTGTTTTATTACTGTTAGTGAGAATGAGGTATACAAGTTGAGAGTGAATAATATATGTAATTAAATTAGAATCACAAAGCTTGGGGAAAATCAATCATGGCACTGTAAAACAATAAAATACAAAGCAATAATAAAAATACACAATAACAATTGCACACATATATATTCCGTCTTTGCGTATTGCAGAGTTATCTTCTCTTGGGAGCAGGTATTGATTGTTACGTCATTGGTCTGTGTTAGAAAATTACATTGTTTTCTCAAAAATTGATGACGTTATTCACACAAACAAGTGACGTAACATTCTCCCGCACCTGACAGATTTATCTCCCGTTTTGCCGGTGCTAGATTTATCTGTCTCCGCCCTAGGGTTGAGACGGGGGGATTCCCCTATTCATAACAATGGCATGACGTCACTTCAACAATACAATGACGTCACGTCAACATCCATCAACAAAATGCCTGTATGTGTTTTGGGTCCATGTTTACCTTTATTTCACATTAAAATACTGTTAGATCTGGGAGAAAAATAATCAATCGCTACTGGTTGTGTAAGATAGAGAAATCTCAACCCTCGGACAAAGATTTTTTTGTCCAGAACTCGGCAAGCCTCGTTCTGGACAAAAAAATCTTAGTCCTCGGGTTGAGATTTCTCTATCTTATACAACCAGTAGCGATAGATTCTATTAATCAATACCTGCTCCCAAGAGAAGATAACTCTGCAATACGCAAAGACGGAATACATTCATATACTAATTTTCTAATGAAACTTCATTAATATATTTAAATTAAATATTATAAAAGTCACAATTTACTACTGATAAGCAATATATATTATTGAGCGGAGCCAATACGAAGTACTGATTTTTTTCTTCTTTTCTGCTACACAAAAAAAAAGGATGATATACATATGTATATATGAATACCTATAATAGAATTAATGACACAAACAGTATACAATTTTCCTTTGTACATCAACTTCTATACCAGTACACACGCTGACAGCTATCTGCTCGAAATAACGTGAATCGAGATTCATCTATTAAGAGCATGGACCTCCAATATCTCGTAGGAAAATGCCTTGGCATATGTGCAGTCAATATATAGTGAAAGAGTCTTTAGTGAAATATGCTACAAGCAGGTCTTCAACAGTTTTGTCAGAAAATTTGATATCCAGTCACTGGACCCAATTATATATCACATTCTGGTAAATGGTCTGCTGAGATCTCTGTGTCCTGCCTGTTGAAAGGTACCCTTGACCTTTTGGTTGTTTTTCAATTTTTAATGCACTATTACCTTGGAAGACAGTCAAGGTCATTCTTTTTAACAAACTTGATAGCTCTTCATACAAATGTAAGCATGCTACTAGCCAAATATCATGATTTTAGGCCTCTTGGGTTTTTCAGGAGAAATTGTTTAAAGAAAAAAGAAAAAAAAGGAGGCCTGAGGCAGATGCAGGACACTAAGTGGCAACATTACAATTCCCTATCCTTTGGGCAGGTGAGCTTAAACCTATAAGCTGACTGGTCAATTTTCCTTTGTACATTGCATATCATAAACTAGGTTTGCTATTTTCATTTTTTTAATTCCTTGGTGATTCTGTCAGATCTGTACCGCTTTATCAATTCAAAACTGTTTTATTTCTGTTACAGAGATGATTTTATAAATTGGATTTAAAAAGATGCATGTCTCCTTTTCTATATCACTACATTTTATCTCCTTAAGGCTAACAAGCCACAGCTTCAGTCATGTGTAACTTAACCATTTTCCAATTCTAAAACCATATATAAGTTATTAAAACAAATTATATCTGTACTACATTTATTAATTAATGCTCCCAGAAACTTTGATTGATTCAGTCTTATACCCATTTGATCCGGCTAAGGCTTGCTCTTAGCTAATTTCCGTATTTTCCTATTACATTTTTTCTAGCTTCTAAGGGCTTGTTTTTGTGTATGTAAATGTCTTTTCCAGCTAGAGCTCACTAAATAGTTTTATCAGCCTAAGTAAGAGTTATTTCCCCTTCATTATCAAGGCACTGTATTCCGTCTTTGTAGCTATTGTAGTATATAGCTCTTACTAAAACCTTATAGCTTCAATGGAATTTCATCTAGCTCATTTCCTTCTACATAAATATGTATATGACATCACCAATGGATTTTATTTAGCTTGTTTGGAAATATTTATGAGGTGAAATTTCCACTTTCAGTAAAATTTCCTATTTCAAGATAAAAGAATAATTAGATTCCTCTTTATCAATATAATTATCATTTTCTAACATGATATGTTTTCTGATCCTCTAAAATATTGTTTTTTATTACACTTTTACCAATAAAACATTGAAAATTGTTCCTTCTATAAAAGTCATATTTTTACCTAGTGAAAAACATCACTTTTGCTGATTTGACCAATCAAAACACTGATTACAAACTACCATGAGAAAAATTACAAGTCACCCGACTAGTCAAAGCCTGGTTAACTTAATGATATGCAGACCTAGAGAAAATCTGTCCCAGACCTCAGCCTATTATACTTCCCAGCATAATCATCTGCTACCTAATGCATGGTGGAACTATTTTCTGGGGGAAGTTTACACAAAATAACGTTCAATTCCACAGTTTACTTTCATTTTCATACAAGCCAGCAGATTGTGCAGGTCAAAAGTTTTAACTATTTCATCAGAGAAAACTCACGTTAAATGAAACACAATGTCAGCTTCCCCAATTAGGCGTAGACATTTCCAGAATGTATAAGAGAACCAGGGTCCTATCTGAGAGTGTTTAACCCTTTCACCCCTATGTAACTTTAGAAGACTCTGCCATGCATTGATATGGATGAGTCCATTGAGGTCTACAGTGGTGAAAGGGTTAAGTATAACTTACATAGTGGAGTTGACATTTTAATTATCATCAGGATAAATTTTGACAAAACAATTTTTCATTTTCCCAACCATTTTATACTCGGTACTTATATCAACAACGCTTAATAGTGACCTGAGCTTTTTTAGATAGTTAAATAATGATAGTTATTTAGCATACTTTATTTAAAATATAAACTTAAATACCTACATTATTAAAATAAGTAATGAAAGGAATTAGTTACGATTCTTTACTAAATACATTAATCAAACCGGAAATTACTGTCATGTAGTGGCAAAAATCACTTACTGTACCGTCTTTACAATCCCCATTTCTTCACACACGCACACCGATATTAGTTTGTAACAAACTAGGAATTTTAAGTGTCTTCTGTTCTGTGTCATTGAAGTGGGCCGTTACGAAACAGGATTTCCTCTCCTTTAGAAGTGTTGCTCTGAGAAAAACAGGATTTCCCCTCCTACATGCATGGTGTCATACGCTTAATTTCCCACTATTGACAGACAAAACAAAAGTAGAATTTGGGTGTGTGTAAATGACGGATTTTAAACCCTGTTACATGTAGTCACCACGTAACTACTAAAATTGACGAAAATGTTGTTGTAATTTCAATTCACAAACAAATGCGTTTTGAATATATATATATATATTAACAAATTAATTTTAGTCCCACTCAATATTTTATTATATTTTAATAATTAGATAAGTACTTTGATGAAAAGTAAGCAAGTACAAGCTTCCCGCAAGTTACTAATACCGATAGGGGGAACTTATCAGCCAGACAATAGTTCCCCCTGGTAACTAATACAGAGAGGGGGAACTAATCAGCCAGCCAATAGTTCCCCCCTAGTTACTAATACAGAGAGGGGAAACTAATCAGCCAGTCAATAGCAATAGTTTCCCCCTGGTTACTAATACAGAGAGGGGGAACTTATCAGCCAGCCAATAGTTCCCCCCCTGGTAACTAATACAGAGAGGGGGAACTTATCAGCCAGCCAATAGTTCCCCCCTGGTAACTAATACAGAGAGGGGGAACTAATCAGCCAGCCAATAGTTCCCCCCTGGTAACTAATACAGAGAGGGGGAACTTATCAGCCAGCCAATAGTTCCCCCCCTGGTAACTAATACAGAGAGGGGGAACTTATCAGCCAGCCAATAGTTCCCCCCTGGTAACTAATACAGAGAGGGGGAACTTATCAGCCAGCCAATAGTTCCCCCCTGGTAACTAATACAGAGAGGGGGAACT